ACCGACCATCGACTACGTTCACCCAAGGTGGGGGAACTATGTCGACGCAAGTCTCAGTGGATCTCCAAGCTGACATCTTGCGTCAATGGCAGCTATCCAATGGGAGGCCCACGGTCCCGAGGTCCCCTCAGCGTAGGTGTAAGGGTCGGGATGTCGAAGGCTTCTGGGTCCCCCTCAGGGACTAGCAGCATGGAACAGAGATGAGGCGCGGCCTCGGACAGAAATGTAGCTCGTACTGCCGATCCTCTAGGACGTCATTGCCAAGGGCAGGAGCACCCCCGACGGACGGAGGATGGACAGGGTCAGAAGCCAGAGCTATAGCGTATTGAAGGTAGTGGGTAGAGGCGAAGTCAGCGACAACAGTGACAAGGGCGTCAAGATTCGAGACAGGAACAGACGAGTCGGTAACGAGGGAGACAAGGACCCAAGGAACACGAGGACTAGCGGCACGAAGGTAGTCGGACAGAGGCGGCGGAGAGACAACAAGAAACGACGGAGGAGGCGAGGGGAGGAGAGGAGGACGAGACGCGTGGGAATGAAGCAACATCGGGTGAGAGCGCTGGACAGGAGAGACGGGACGAGCACGAGAGGGACGACGAGGCCAGAAGTGGGACGCAGGCGTCGGGTTAGGAGAGACAGGGGGAGTCACAGGAGGAGAACGAAGAGGGAAACGAGTCAGAGACGAGTCTGGCGGAGGAAACGCAGGGCCGTAGACAGGCAGGGGAGGCAGCGGCGGAGGAGCCGCAGGTGGGTGGTCAGGGGAGGGAAGGCCGAGCAAGTGAAGGGCGGACATCGTCGGCGACTGTTGCTGCTGCTGCTCCATGCCGACACCAGAACCTCCAACTGCACCACGGCTACCTCCGAAATGCTCCACTCTAGCACCTCCAGAATGAGAACCCTCACCAGTAGCGGTGCCATCTCCGAGATCGCCAACACAAGCCACGACAGTAACCCTAGGACTAGCACCCCCAGAAATAGCACCCCCAGGACGAGAACCCTCTCCAGCACCGGTGCCACCCCCTGGACCGCTGGGACGAGCCACGACAGTGGAAGAGGAGACACCGAGGAAGAAACAGGCGGCGAGAACTACGCCGCGGGGCCACCAGAGTCAGCCAACTCCTCCACCGGGACAACCGACGGGAGGGGAGTGACATGAGACACACCAGACGGAGCAGGACGGGGAGGGAGGGGAGCAGGGGCTACCTGGGAGTGCGAACCAGAAACAGGGGCGGGAAAACCGGGAGACCTCGGTGGGGAAAGAGGTGGTAGAAGGAGACAGACTCGTTGATTGTGACGTTACGAGAGTGAAAGGAGCAGTGAGACGTCGGGTGGTAAAAGTGTCAGTCAGACGAGTCAAGAGGAAAGCCAAGGAAGACACAAGGGACAATGTAGGCAATGAGCTTGTCCATGCCAGAGGCACGAACGTGAGCAAGGCAGCCCCAAACGTGGAACGCGGACACGTCACCAGAGAACCCGGTCCAAAGAAGGGTCGGCAAAACCTGCAGCCGCTGGGAGCGCGGCCACAGGTTAAGCTGGTGCGCAGCGTAGCGAACAACAAACGGCCACAGAAAATGGGGTGCACCAACATAGATCATGGAGGTACGAGCCACCTCCATGACCAAACTGATGCGTTGCTAGGTGACCCCTTTCTGCTGCGGGGAGTCCGGCAGGGTGTACGACTGGGTGATGCCCTCCGCACGACATAACTGTCAAAGCCCACCGGAGGCAAACTCGCCGCCACGGTCGGAGTGGAGACACAACACGGGGAGACTGCTGTGTACATACACAGCTAAGACCCACGGGATAAGAACGTCAGGCACATCGACCTTCCGCCTAAGAGGAACCACCGTGGTGTAGCGCGTGTAATCGTCGATAAGCATGAGAATGTAGCGCTCTCAAAGTGGCCCAGGGACGGGGGCTGGGCCGCAGACGTCCAGGTGCAGGGTTTGGAGTGGCGTGGTGGCAGGGCAAAGCGAGGAGGAGTGAAAAGCATGGCATAGCCGGCACTCGACGCAGGGCGTGCACGGCGCAGGAAAGGGAGGGAGGGCAGGGAGCGATGCAGGGAGACAAAGGACAAGAGCGTGCAGAGACATGTAAGTGCGGGCTGACCTAGGTGGTGGTGGTACAGAAGTGACGGGTGAGTGAGCGACCGACACGAGCAAGCTGCAACGACCTGGGTAGACGCAGGCACCTGGGGGACGCCCTCACCACGGGGGACTTGGTGTCCAGCGTAAATAGGCCAGACACCGGGTCCCGGGGGAACGTGGTGAGGGGGGAACCTATGGCGGCCTCGGTACATACCTCGTAGCACTCGTGGCCAGGGAACGTAGTGGTGACGCTGAGATCCGAAAGACAGCCGACATAAACTAGGTTCCAGGAGATTGAGGGGATGTGCAGGCCTGTAAGGGAGCCCGAGGAAACCGCCGGACAGTGAAGGGTAGTGGAGCTACGGGCAACTACTGGAACGGAGGAGGGGTCAGCAAGCGCGACTACGGTAGGGGCGGCACGCGGCGTGAGCAGAGTGTGGTCGCGGAAGAAGCAGGCAGACGCACCAGAGTTAAGCATGAACGAAAGCGAAGCAGTAGCGGCAGTCGGCGGACGGGCTAGCGTGGAGCCTAGGCTGAACAAGGCAAAAGGTCCTACGCCTGACATAGCAGGGGACCCTAGACTACACACATGAGGCACATCTACACTAGGCAACACAGGGTAATAAGGTCCGGTCACACTAGAGTCATCAGCATACATGGCATGCAATGCAGAGCAAGCTGATCCAAATCCATCTCAAAGATAGGCACATGGCGACGCACCAGAATAAGCCCGTCGGGAAGGTCCGTCGCAGGGCTGAAGCAGAGACGGATGAGATCATCGAGGCGGCGGAAGCAGCGGGTGGCAGTGTGACTGTTACGACCACACACAGTGCCGTAGAAGGGGCCGGTCAGGAGCTGGTAGTGGTAAGCCACAGTGCCGAAGCTGCCACCCGACACCGAGCTGCGAGGGCCGCCACCGCGGCCACCACCACCAAAAGCATCGGGCCACCCCAATGGGAGGCAGCCCCAGTGCTGCTGCTGAGGCTGCTTCTTCTCCGGGGCACCAGACCCAGTCCCCTCATCGGAACCAGCGTCCCTGCCCCCGCCCCCACCACCCCCACCACCCTTCCCCCTGCCACGCCCCACCTTGGGGCGGCGGCCCCTACCTTGACGCGGCTACGTTGAGGCCGCAACAGCGGTCTCAGCAGCAAGGATTGTCTCAGCGATAGCAGCAGAGATGTCAAAGTAAGTACACTGGGAGGGAGCACATCCCTGAAAGATAGGGACCGCTGCAGTACTGCTAGACTTAGCGATAGTGCGCTGGTGGGTCTCTATCTCAGATAGGGCAGTGACAAAGGTGATAAGGGTGAGGTCATCTGGGTGCTGACTAAGGAAGTGGCCGCAGGCAGTGGCTAGGTGGTTCGGGAGGCGCGTGGCGATGAGGCTTTGGTAGCGCAAAGCGGCGGGGGGAAGGTAGTGAGCTGGGCCTCAGTGCTAGTGGCGCGGTAGCTAGCCTCAAGTGCTCGGAATTGAGTGGCTAGGTTAGCGAAAGTGGGGAAAGCCGCAAGATCAGGGAACAGCATGGGGAGGAGGCGGCCAGCTGAGGCTGAGGCGGGCGTAGAGTAGCGCGCAGTGACTGCATCTAAGAATTCCTTGGCGTTCGCTACTGTGGTAAAGCGGGGACGCTCAGACAAAGGGATGGCGTGACTAATGGCAAGCTGTGTTACGGCATCGCACGACTCCTAGACAGCGCGAGCAAGCGCAGCAGCAGAAAAGAACTCACGCTCAGCAGTGGTGGGGGCATCAGGGAGGGCAGTAGGGACGGGGGGGCGGGGAAGCAAACCATCGACATGCACAGCCAGTGAGTAACCGTCCTGGCGCTGACCTGTCAGGTGACGGCGAAGGTCGACAAGCCACGCAGCGAAATCGATCGCCCGCCCCTCCGCGTCTAGGCGGAGCACAGCGTCTGCCATCGCACGGTCTCAGCTACACGGCAGCACGGCGACACGGTGGCACGGCTCCACGGCAGGACGGCGGCACGACGCACCGCGACACGGCGACACGGCGGCATGGGGACATGGCGGCACGGCGCACGGCGACACCGCGGCACTGCAGCACAGCGGTACGGCTCCACGGCAGGACGGCAGCACGGCAGCACAGCGGCACAGCCATACTGCGGCACGGCGGCGCCGCAGGAAGCTGGGGCCGGCATGAACGGGAGCCGGCTGCGTTAGGGGCGGCGAGGGAGCAGAGGCCGGCGAGCTAGGGCCTACGAGCGATAGTCGGCGAGGTGGGGCTGGCGAGCTAGGGCCGGCGGGCTAGGGATAGCGTGGCGCACGGGGCTAGCGGGGCGCGAACGGGGCCAGCGGGGCGTAAGGGACCAGTGGGGCGCACAGGGCGAGCAGGGCTCGACGAGGCCAGCAAGGAGTGAACGGGGCCAGCGGGGCGTACGGGGCCAGCGGGGCGCATGGGGCTAGCGGGGCTCGACGGGGCCAGCGGGGCGTACGGGGCCAGCAGGGCGCACGGGGCTAGCGGGGCTCGACGGGGCCAGCGGGACGCGAACGGGGCCAGCGGGGTGCACGGGGCTAGCGGGGTTCGACGGTGCCAGCGCGGCGCGAACGGGGCCAGCGGGGCGCACAGGGCTAGCGAGGCTCGACAGGGCCAGCGGGGCGCGAATGGGGCCAGCGGGGCATACGGGGCCAGCGGGGCGCACAGGGCCAGCGGGGCGCGAACGGGGCCAGCGGGGTGTACGGGGCCAGCAGGGCGCTAAGGTGCCAGCGAGGCGCTAAGGGGCCAGCGGGGCGCAAACGGGGCCAGCGGGGTGTACGGGGCTAGCAGGGCGCTGAGGGGCCAGCAGGGCGCTAAGGGGCCAGCAAGGCTCTAAGGGGCCAGCAGGGCGCTAGGGGCTAGGGCGGAAGCGGGTGGGAGGACCTAACCTAATCTGATACCATCTTAGCATAGAAACGAATGATTAGAATGAGGTGGTACAAGGGGATATAACCTAAGGGGTAATACTCTATATGAGCATGCACCTAACTAGCCTGTAACATGTACAAATTATATGTTGACACCAGTAACCACATTGTTGTTGCTGGTAACAGCATCAATGACCAACCAGCGGTTGCAGCAGCATGCGGAGAGCAGAGGGCTGGATGGGCTTCTGCAGGATGCCATGGAAGCCACCAGCAAGGCACTGCCGAGTGACCTCTGCATCCACGTCAGCAGTCAGCGCAATGATAACCAATGGCCTCGTGCTGTTGACATGTGCGCCTCCAATGCTTTTAGCGGTACTGGCAACCAGAGTGTGGTTGCTGGAACCGACATCTATGCATCGGGACCTTGCTGTAGAATCAACTGCTGTTGAACCTGGCCTTGAATCAGACGTACAACCACCTCTATAATCTTCTCCTGAGTCTCGTCCTGCATGGCTACCCACACCAACCTGGCTCTGCTGTTCTGCTATCTCTGCGGTGCTCCCTGCTGCGCTCTCTGCTGCTGCTGCTGCTGCTTCTGCTTCCATTTGTCGGATTGCCTTGGTTGATGCGAACCTGCACGTATGAAAGACGCAAAATTATAATTGAATGGTATTACAAAACAGGGGAGAGGGTTTTGTTACACCCGCACAAAGGACTCACCCATCCATGCCTGGCATCTGCAGGTCCATCAGCACCACATCCAACGCCTTGCTCTCATCAGTTTCAGCAGCAGCACCCTTGTCAACAGCCAGAGCCTCCTTCACCCGCCTCACTGCGTCCACCCCGCTGCCTGCCGTGGCCACAGCGGCGCCGCATCGACTCAGAGTGCGGCGGGCCACCACCAGGTTCACACCCGTGTCGTCCACCACCTGGGAGCAGCAGGGTGGCGGGGGGGGGGGAGGGGGGGAGAGATGTTGGGGGGGGGGTTAGTTTTAAAAATTAGGTAAGGAGTGAGTTGCCACCACCAGGTTCACACCCGTGTTGCCCACCACCTGGGACCGAAAGGGGGGTCGGGGCATGGGGGATGAGAAAGGGTTGAGGAGACAGGCGATGGGGTGCAGCACCTTCACAAAGCAGGGCAGATGAGAGCAGGGAAGATGAGAGCAGGGCAGATGAAAGCAGGGCCGATGAGAGCAGGGAAGATGAGAGCAGGGCAGATGAGAGCAGGGCAGATGAGAGCAGGGAAGATGAGAGCAGGGCAGATGAGAGCAGGGCAGATGAGAGCAGGGCAGATGAGAGCAGGGCAGATGAGAGCAGGGCAGATGAGAGCAGGGCAGATGAGAGCAGGGCAGATGAGAGCAGGGCAGATGAGAGCAGGGCGGATGAGAGCAGGGCAGATGAGAGCAGGACATTGGTGGGATAGAACAGGGGTGAAAGCAGCTATGTGAAGGGAAAGACTGTACCAAAATTCTCAGTCCATTTAGAACATCTCTCCCTTCTCCTCCTGGTGCTTCTGCTCCTCCTCCCCCCCCTGCTTTCCCTACTGCAGCTGCTACTCCTTCTCCCCCTTCGCCCCTCCCCCTGCCCTCAACTAGTGACATCCTCTTTCCTAAACTGTCACTGGTGGCACTGGTGGGAGCAACAGCCAATGAATCTGTAGCAAGAGAAGCATTGGTAGATGTAGCAGCTGCAGCAGCTGTAGCAGCTGTAGCAGGCAGATTTGTCGGTGAAGAAGCAGCAACTGCTGGCTGTGCTACTGCTGCTACGTCAGACGGGTGGAGCAAGGGCATGGAAAGAGCCTGGAAGAGAGAGCAGTGAGGGGGATGGGGAGACAGGAGGGAAAGGGAGAGGAGGATGGGGATGAAGCTAGCAACAGGTGGGCACAGTGCAGGCGCAGGATAGCCACTCTCTGTTACTTCTCAGTCTGCCCCGCCCACCTGTTTCTAGCACAGGAGGGAAAGTGAGAGGGAGATGACACCGAATGCCACCTGGCAGCACACCCGTATTCCACCTGCCAGCACACCCCGATGCCACCTGGCAACGTACCTGAACAGCAGCGAGTAGGCGGTGGGAGAAGAGGGGCAGTTGGCACAGCACCACTGGAACCCCTCCAAAGGTGCTAGCGCCATGCACCGCACCAGCCTCAAGTACCCGCGGTTCACACGGTGGAGGGTGAGATTCTAGTGGTGCCTGGGAAGACTTGTCCGGAGTTGCAGACTCGGCTGAAGAGTGCAAACTGTCTGCTTCAATCTCGTCCCTGTCTGAACTCTCTGCAACCTGCTCCATTGCTCCTTCTGTACTGTCACGCCTCTCTACAAGCACAACACAGCCAGACAGGGGTAGAAGCTTCCCTATTTGCTGCTGCCGCTGCTGTTGATGCTGCTGGTGGTGGTGGTGGTGGTGGTGCTGCTGCTGCTGCTGCTGCTGCTGCTGCTGTTCCCCTAACCGATCACAGGCCTGCCTGAACCGCCTCAGACCAGCTTCCCCACTCACTACCACCACCAGCGGCTTCCCACAGAACTTAGCTAAGTGCTGGTGGGAGCAGAAATGATTCGATTGCTGGTGGAAGGCGTGAGGATCAGCTATGAGCCTAGCTGCAGCGTGCTCATCAGAAGCCAGCAGAACTGACGCCCCTAGGTGAGCCAGCACACGGGCGGTTAGCTGGGGGCAGGGAGTCAAACATACAAGAAAGAAGAAAGGATAAGGTTAGCGTAGGTGTCATGTGTCGGGTATCAGAAGCTTAGCGTAGGTATGAATCTAACTGCTGCATGCGTGTCGGGTGTCAGAAGCAGTGATGCTCCTAGGTGAGCCAGCACACGGGCGGTTAGCTGGGGGCAGGGAGTCAACCCACAAGGGAGAGGAGAGGATAAGGAAAATATTTTCGAGAATTCTAAAAAATCTCTCACAAGGGAGAGGAGAGGATAACGGAAAGTCAGCCTAGCTATGGACCAAACGGAAAGTCAGCCTAGCTATGGACCAAACGGAAAGTCAGCCTAGCTATGGACCAAACGGAAAGTCTGCCTAGCTATGGACCAAACGGAAAGTCTGCCTAGCTATGGACCAAATGGAAAGTCTGCCTAGCTATGGACCAAACGGAAAGTCTGCCTAGCTATGGACCAAACGGAAAGTCTGCCTAGCTATGGACCAAACGGAAAGTCTGCCTAGCTATGGACCAAACGGAAAGTCTGCCTAGCAATGGACCAAACGGAAAGTCTGCCTAGCTATGGACCAAACGGAAAGTCTGCCTAGCTATGGACCAAACGGAAAGTCTGCCTAGCTATGGACCAAACGGAAAGTCTGCCTAGCTATGGACCAAACTGCTGCATGCTCGTCTGCTCGCTCTCTGCTCCGCGTGACAAGCTGGTTCTTGAGAATTCTGCAAAAGAATAGAAACAAAGAATCTAAGAAATCAACAGAATTCTATCAAACCAACTCAACTCATTGTCCACACTTCTGTGCGTTTGAGTCGATCGACTCAAAAGCCACGGTAAAGTGGGTTCATTCAAGAGTTTAGTTACCTTTGCCCTTTCCTTGTGACGATCCACCAGCACCACCAGCACCACCAGCACCGCAAAACCAGAACGACCTGAGGCATCCACGCCCAGGCATCCACTGGAGTTGTGCGGCATGTCCCCACCATAGATTCCCACGCCTCTCATGTGTGCTGCACCGTTGCCAGCCGTATCTACAGCACCATCGCCATGCATGTGCGCTGTACTGTCGCCCTCCATATGTACATCTGTAGGCACACCCGCCTCTCCAGCAACAGCCGCAGCAGGAGCAGCAGGGGGAAAAACGGTCTTGGCAACAGGCGAATTCGTCTGGGGAAGGTTTGTCTGAGGAAGGGTTATCTGGGAAATGGTTGACTGGGGAAGGGTTGTCTGGGGTAGCGGCGGGGCAGAGAGCACAGGTATCGCGAGGGTGAATGCTGTTCCTGTAGCAGGATCGACCTTGCAGCTGATGTCACCCTTCATTAGAGTCACCTGCAGTAAAAAACACAGGAGAGGAATGCCCGAGCCAGAACACACCTGCATTAGCAGTAGAGTGGTGCATGGTACGTCTCCTGGAGGAAAAACAAAGAAAGCAAAAAAACAACGAAACCTACAGGCGAGCGCAAACCCTAAAAGCCGAAAGTCCCACTGAAGGGAGATGATCCTCTTCAGCAGTGGGTCGTAGTTGAGGATTCCATAGAACGAGACTACAACCAAAGGGAGACCCGAAACCCTCCTCACCAGTTGTTTGGCCAGCACAAGGCTGAGCTTCGCAGCAGCTTCCTCGGCTCCCTCCTGCAAGCTCCGCATCTCCTGTGAACCCATGCATGCAAACACGGACACAAAACACATGTTACACCACACACCAAACTGTCAATGCGTAAATCACTCATAACGACGTTATGCTAAGCCCGCGTTACTGTACCTAGAAAAACTAGAATTCCCTTTCTTTCTGAGGTTCCCCTATAGCCAGATCCACTGTGCCATGCCGTCAAACCTGCCACCTCCGTCCGTCTTCCCTCCCATAGTCAGTACTCACCTCAAATCGAAACATGAATGCATTCATGGTCTCGCTGTTGTCACACCCGCTATGCTCACACGTTATCACCAGCTGCATCTGGCCTGATCCTGCTGCTGCTGCTGCTGCTGCTGCTGCTGCTCCCTTCTCCCCTTTGCACGCACGGTTACCACGCATGTTCACAGCACGGTTGCCATCCACACTGACAGGACGGTTACCACCTTTGCAGAAACCATGGCTGCCCATGCAACCGCCAGAACTTTGAACATTGGATGCATGCCAATAGCACTGTCGGTCACTGCGCAGCCCAGAAATATCAGCAACACAAGCTGCTGCTGCTGCTGCTGTTGCTGCTGCCGTGTCATCATCCCCGGTTTTCGTCGCGCTATAAGGGTCGATCAGTGTTATTACCCTAGTGCTGCAAGCTGCAGAACAGGTCTCTGCAGGGAGGGTTGGACACAAGGGGGCGAGGAGGATGGGTGGAAGGGGGCGAGGAGGATGGGAAGAAGGGGAGAAGAGCAGATGGTTTTGAGGCGGCTCAAAATCTGGAGTGAGGGGTTGGTCAGATTGGAAACAGGAGGATGGGGAGGACAGGCGAGAGAACAGACGGTCACAAGAAAAAGGGAGGGAAAAACGACCTCACCGTTCAACTGACAAGGTTGAGTTAAGGTTACACTGGCATGAGACACAGTTACACGCAATTGACTTTCGGAATGGGCGAAAAGCCGCATTCTGCTGTGCCGCAAGACGTGATGAGCGGATGGATGATGGTTGAGATTTGCCAAAAGCCACTCACCATTTAACTGGGCAAGCTGAGTCATAGGGACGTTAGAATCGGCCACAGCTACACGAACCAGCACGTAGCCCCCATGGGGTGTGAATGACAAGGCATAGTCTGACACGGAGAAGACGGGGAGGGTGGAAAGGACATCGAGGTAAGGGGGCAGAAGAGAAATGGAAAGATTCTAACTACAGCAAGTCCATTGTTGCCTCGAAATCAAGAGTTCGACTCATATGGGCGGGTAGGTCACTCGAGAGGGGAAGTGGTGATGAGAGCAGCACGCTGGTAACTGTCCGACCGATTTAAGTACACTGCGCTGCATACCCCCCCCCCCCCCCCCCCCCCCCCCCCCCCCCCCCCCCCATGTACTATCATCATGATGCATCACCGTGATCAGCACACAACGTAGCACCATTGACTTTTGGGTCGACTCAAAAGAGGTGGCTTTTGAGCCGACTCAAAAGCTTCCCCCCATGTCCAGTTTTGAGGCGCCTCAAAATTAGTTTTGAGGCGCCTCAAAACTCAAAAGTAACCCCCCATGTCCGGCCATCATAATGCGTCACCGCGGTCAGGATGCAACGAGGCATCATTCGCATCCACATCTTCGACCACACCCTTCACCGCTCTTTTTGTCTCCCCTCCTTTCCTGTTGTTCCAGCTTGCAAAGGCTGTCAGAATGGCGAGTAGAGCACTGCATACCGAAGTGCGTGCAAAGAACCCCAGTATACGCCTCTGTAGAAAAAGCTACTGGAGCGTCGTGGGCCGGATGTTTTTGCACGCACTCCAGTATACAATGTTCCAGTCGTCGTTCTGACAGGCCTGCAGGCTGGAACATCAGCAAAGAGGTGTAGATAGAGAGAAAGAGGCGATGGCTGTGGTCGGATCGGAACATCTGAATGCCAATGGTGCCTTGTTTCAAGTCAAGCACGGTGACACACCAGGATGCCAACATCTAAGCGGGTGGGACGGCAGCACAATGGGCCTGAATCGGACAAACATGTAGCAGGTGGGACCCACCACTTCCCTAGACACCGTGGAGAGGGGGTTGCTAGCACAACCCATGCTCCCATGAGTGCATGCTTCCATGAGTGCATGCTCCCATGAGTGCATGCTTCCATGCATGCATGTTTGCGTGCATGCATGCTTTAGAAGGGAAGACCTGTGACTGAACAGCCCAGGGACTCACCCATGACTTGCGAGAGTGCCTGAGCGAGTCGTAACTGGTCTCCCACCAGCTGTGGCGGCACACTGGGATCCACCACTGCTGCCACTGCACACATACACACATACACACATGCATGCATGAATGCGTGCGCACATGGTTGCAAGCACACGTGCAATAGATGCACACAATCATGGATGCACAACCCATGGCATGCCGACAACAGTATCGTCAATCAGAACAAAACCAGGGAAGTTGAAGAAAGACGGGAAGAAGATGAGGAAAAAGGAACAACGGGGAAAGGCAGAAACGGAACCAGGCAATCGGCCAATCCTTACCATGCAGTGCGCGCAGGCACATTCCTCTCCCTTGCCTCGCCCCATGTGTAATGAGTCGATTTTTGATTCGACTCAAAAATCGACTCATTACAAAAGGAACAACCGGGAAAGGCAGAAACGGAACCAGGCAATCGGCCCATCCTTACCATGCAGTGCGCACAGGCACATTCCTCTCCCTCGCCTCGCCCCATCGCCTGCACAGTACGCGCCTCGTTCGCCCTCCAGCCACGCGCACACATCACTTTTTGAGTCGACTCAACAACAAATTAAGGATCCAACGGAGGGCAAGGGAGCAGTCGAGAGCGGTCAACGGTCTTACAGTGCACGTTTCTCTCCCTGGCCTCGCCCCATCGCCGGCGCACCTCCCCCTCCACCCACGCGTGCACGTCGAACCCGCCGCTCTCCAGCTGCATTCGGCCCACCTCGAGCTTGGACAGGTCCAGCACCTGATTCACCAGCTTCAGCACCTTCAGGGCGGATGAACGTGCCGTGCTCAAGTCAGAGTGCTGACTTTTAGAGAGATGAGAGTCAGATAGCACGTCCAGCATGCCTGGTAGACCGCAACAAGGGAAGGAGGAAGGGGGAAAGGAAAAGGGGTTGACTTGAGTATCAGCAGGTCCAGTACCTGGTTCACCAGCTTCAGCACCTTGAGGGCGGAGGAGCGCGCTGTGCTCAAGTCTGAGAGCTGGGGCTGGGTCAGAGGCGAGTCCGATAGCACGTCGACCATGCCTGGGACGGGGCGGGGTGCAGGGGAGAGGGAAGGTGGTGAATGCAGCTTGGACAGGTCCAGTACCTGGTTCACCAGCTTCAGCACCTTGAGGGCGGAGGAGCGCGCTGTTGAGAGGCCAGAGAGCTGGGGCTGGGACAGAGGCGAGTCCGATAGCACGTCCATCCAGCATGCCTGGTAGTGGGGGAGAGAGAGGGAGGGGAATGCGGGGAAGGGATGGGAGTAGGGTTGGGCAAAAGGGGTTAATTACCCACCCGTACCCGATTTTGCCTTACCCGACTTCAGGTCGGGTAGTAGTCGGGTAACTGGCCCACAACCATTACCCGACCCGGGGTATAGTGTAGACATGAGCAATTTAAATCGCATCGCATCGCATCGCATCGCGATTAATCGCGTTTTGCGATGGCGATGTATTTTTTTTTTTTTAATTCATCGCGCGATGCGATGATTTATTTATCGCGCGATTTAAATTAAATCGCATGTAAATCGCGGCCGAAAATCGCGATTTTAACGCGATTTGCGATTTAAATTAAATCGCGCGCGATGTCGAAATACATCGCAGCGCGAAATCTCGCCAGCACAAAGGGAAAATTTGCAAAGCCCCAAAACGCATTTCTCAAACTCTCTTTCGTTTGAGAGAACGTTTTAGAACTTTGCACACATCTCCAAGTACTCCAAAGCACACCGTTTTTCACGGTTTTTGGTGGCTGAAATGAAATTTGTAGACGACGAGTAGTAGATTGTGCGCCGCATGGCCTTATAGTCGATCCACGTCATTCGCGCACGCATTTTGCCACGTTGGTGGTGTCGCTAGGGATTTTCACCGTTCGCCAGCTATATTCTAGCCACGACGCACGGCCACTGCCGCTTTTCCCATTGCGTATCTTATTCAGCCGCAAGTTGCAGTGGCAGGGTATATCGCGCGACGCGCATCGACTCGGCCGCGTTAGGGTTTAGGGTTTAGGTTGAGGAGTCGCTTTAACAACTCGCGATGGGCAAGCAGGGTGGAGCAGGTGCGGGGCGTGGGGGCGGTAGGAGTGGTGGTGGCGCGGGTCGCGGCCGCGAGGATGAACCGGATGCCCAGACTGGAGCGCACGCATTGACTGGCAAGGAAGCACGCGCGCAGCGCAGGATGCTAACGGAGGCGGCATTCGCGAAGCTGCAGGGGATTAAGGCGGGTACCTCTCTAGGGGTGGAAGGCGACGGGCACATGGGAGGAGCCCCAGGCAACGGCGGGATTGGGACGCAGGGGAGTGGCGCGGCCGTCGCAACGGAGCCTGCCCTTGCGGGCAAGGCGGCCGTTAGGGATGAGGCGGAGGACGGGGATGCTTGGCGGATCCGAGCATCGGCGGAGGGGGTGCGGACTGCCTATGAGGAGGGGGATGAGGAGCAAGCTGAGGAGGAGGAGGGTGATGACGACGACGTTGTGGCGGAGGAGGAGGGGGATGGGGAGGAGAATGGGGGAGCTGGCGGCGAGGAGAAGGGGAAGCGCAAGGTGGATGACGGGCCTTCTCCCTCGGTCGGTTCTTCGGGGAAGAAGGCACGTAAACCTGCAGAGGGAGATGGGGGGTTGGGGGGGGCGCCCAGGGGCCGCCCCCGTGGCCGGCCCAGGGGGCGGAAGGGACTGCTGCGCGAGGATGTCGGCAGGCCTGGCATGTCACCCGGATACCTCCACGAGGCGCAGGGGAGCGGAGGGGGAGGAGGGAGGGTCCGAGGTGCGGCCCGGGCTCCCACGGATGCCGGGAGGGGGGGGGAAGGGCGGGAGGTGGCCGGGGTGAGGGTCATGGGGCGACTGACCAGGGTCATGTGGGCTCCTCCACGGAGGTGGAGAAGGAACCTCGACTGTGTGTTGCGGCTTGTTTTGACATGGAGGAGGCGGCACCGGGTTGGAGGAGGTGTAGGATGTGCAACTTCCTAGTGAGCTTCGCGAGCCGCACCACGTCGAACGGGCGGTCCCACATGGTTGGTTACCACAGGGCTCATTGGGACATCTTGATGCGGCTAAGGCGGGAGGGGGAAATGAAGGTCGGGGACCAGCTACCAAAGGGGGGGTTTGGGGACGGAGAGGTCCCCGACGGGGGCAGTACCTGGTGGGGATCGGCATATTGGCCCAAGTTGGAGGACGCGGAGGATGACGGGCCTTCGGTCGGCCGGGAGAGGGGGCGCGGGATTATGCGTTACATGCAGAAACCCCTTGACCTGCCGCGCTGGGAGCAGCTGCTCGTCGAGTACATTGTCGACACCGACTCTGCGTTTTGCACAGTCGAGCGAGACAGTGTGAGTCCCAGCCACCCTCCCCACGGCGTGTTCTTGTGTCACGTTATCCTGTTTGGTACATCCCTTCCTCGCCATCCACTCGTCATGGCCTCACCTCTTTCTTTCACCCTTTCTCGCCTTCCATCAGTTCCGCCGCCTCATGGGTGAGGCCAACCCCCGGCTTGCTCAGCCGGGAGTCATTCCTTCGCGGCACAAGCTGGCTCGTCTCATCATGCGACAGGCGGCACAGTGCAAGGAGTTGGCCAAGGCTGAGTTGGCGGCTGACAAGGGGGTGGGTGCGATCTCCTACACGACGGACATTTGGTCGGCGGAGAACGACATCGGTTTCATGGGCGTCACTGCGCATTACATCGATGCACAGTGGACCCTGAAGCAGGCGACGTTGGACTTCAGGCCTCTTCCTGCCGGCCACACAGCGAGGATGGTCGCCAACATCCTGGAGGAGGTGATCGAGGATTGGGGGCTTGCCGGGCGGTGTATGGCGCTCACGACCGACAACGCGTCTGTGAACGGGGCGGCATTCGATCTTCTCAAGGCAGGGGATCAGGGAGATGGGAAGACGCGCGCGACCCCCTTGTTCGGCAAGGCTGCTCACGTCCGGTATGACATAACCCAATTGTTCGCTGCCTATGATTTTCCACCAAGCAGGCCGTAGTTGGTCTAACCCTTCGACAAGGCGTGGTCATCCCTTTTAACCTCCAAAACTTTGTGCTTGGTGCAGGTGCCTCGCCCATGTCAACAACCTCGCAGTGCAGGAGGCTATGGGTGGGGTGCCGGAGGTGGAAGCGCCACTGAAGAAGCTGCGCAACCTCGCGTCGCGCATTGGCTTCTCAGTGACCAAGACGGCGGCCTTCGAGAAGGAGCAGCGTCACCAGTTCCCTGGGAAGCAACCCTTGAAGTTGAAACAGGACAATCCGGTGCGCTGGGGCTCCACCCACGCCATGCTGCGGCGAGCGATCGAGCTCAAAGGCCCAATCAGGGCTTTTGTGGCTAGGGAGGTATGTCATGTACCTTGGTTACCACAAACCCTCTGCCGCCTACTTACCTCCATCGCCCGGCCGTGTCCCCCCCGCCACACTCCAAGCCACTGCCAGAACGATTGCCCCCCGTCCCCCCTCCGTTCCCGGCTCCCCACTCCTCCCCCTCCCCCACACCCTTGTTTGCTCTACTCCAGGGGTGTAACAAGAAGGAGCAGGCCGACCTGGACCAGAAGGCCGTTACAGACGATGAGTGGGCGATACTGCAGGAATTAATGGCGTTCCTAGCGCCATTCAACAACGTGACTCTGGCGGCGGAGGGGTCGGTGTACCCAACTGTGGCGCGTGTGGTGCCACAGTACAATGGGGTACTGGACTGGCTGGAGCGCAAGCTGTCAGCGGCGAAGCCGGGGTCGGTGATGGCGCGGTGCGTGTCCCAGGCCTTGGAGAAAATGCTCACGTATTTCTACTCCAGCACCGATGACCTCAACGTGGCCACATTCTTGGATCCGGCACTGAAGCGAGTGTGGTTTGAGCGGCCTATGGTGGAGGGGAGCACTAGGGTCGTGGAGGAGTTGGATGCCGGCGAGGTGGAGCAGTTGGTGCGCGATAGGTGGGAGACGTACAAGAGAAAGATGGATGAGGAGGTGGCTGAGAAGAGGGGGGCAGCAGCATCGGTAGAGGGGGGCAGCAGCGGGACGGGAGTAGATCTGAGGGAGTCCGAGGATGAGGAGGATGAGGACTTGGGTGTGTTTACTCACCTCGCAACAGTGCGGGCCGCACAGATCTCATCGGTGCAGGACGAGATCCAGCAGTACCTGTCACTCCCCTTGGCGGAACTGCACGACTGCCCCTTGCAGTTCTGGAAGGTCCACCAGGAGCTTCCAGCGCTACAGCGCATGGCTCGGGATTACCTCGCCATCCCGGCCACCTCTGCCCCCTGCGAGCGCCTGTTCTCACAGGGCCGCAACCTCATCCACTGGCAGCGCTACCGCTTGGGTGCGGAGCGAATCCGTGCTTGCATGATGCTGAAGTCATGGATTGCCTCTCACCCTGGACAGCGACTTGATGGCGCGGTAGCAGCCGAAGATGTCGAGACGGCCGACGAGGCGTGGGAGCTGGGCCTTGAGATAGGTCCAGGGCTTTGAGGGCTACCTACCGTGCTGCTGGGGGGTTCGGGAACTGATAGGACATCACCTTATTTATATTGACAACGTGCTGGACCGATGATGACTATGCTTCATGCTCGCTTCCTCCCTTTCCCTCCCTCATCCCCCCCCCCTTTGAACCCCCCTCCCTCCTTTCCCGCACCCTCATACTTTTCACACCATCCAGCTGGCAGCTACCCTCCCCTCCCCCCCTCCCGCCCCCCCCTCCCCCCCTTTTTGAAACCCATGCACTTACTTGTTTTAAGCTACGAAAGTCGGGCCCTTACCACGGGGCTCGCATTTGTGTGAAACCCACTCTGAACGGTATTTTTATTCGTCAATGGCCGCACCATCTCGTGTTCTAGTTTTCTGGAGGTTTTTTTTCCAAGTATGCAGATTTGTTTTGGAAACTTTTATAAATGCGATGCGATTTTATATCGCATCGCGCGATTTAATAAAACATCGCCTGCGATTTTTAAATACATCGCAGGCAAAATGCGATGTGCGATGTATTTTTTTTCCAAAAAATAAATCGCGCGATGCGATTTAAAATCGCATCGCATTTTAAATCATCGCACCTGCATGCGATGCGATTTAAATCGCAATCGCACTTTGCCCATGTCTAGTATAGTGGGCGGGTGATAAGGTACCCGCCCCGGGGGTCGGGTACCCGTACCCTAGTTGTGGTAAAAAACGGGTATTACTACCTGCCCACAATAATGGGCCATAATGAGGCCCATAACGTGTTTCAGGGGTGTTAACAATAGCCTATTCGGGTCGGGTATACCCAACCCGGCGGGTATGAATTACCCGCCGCGTCGGGTAGGAAAACGGGTATCGGGTATCGGTTACCCGGCCGGGTTACCCGACCCGACCCGGCTGGGTAGTAAGTCGAATTCGTCCTGCCCGACCCGACCCGGCTGGGTAGTAAGTCGAATTCGTCCTGCCCGACCCGGCCGAAAGTCGGGAACGGGTTCGAGTACGGGAACGGGTATGGGTACGGGTACGGGTACCCGACCCGCATGGGTAATTTGCCCAAGCCTAGATGGGAGTCAGATGAGCTTCGTCAGGTCCAGCACCTGGTTCGCCAGCTTCAGCCCCTTGAGGGTGGAGGAGCGCGCCGTACCTAGGTCCGACACTTGAGGCGCCTCAAAAGTAGACTCCTTGAGGGTGGAGGAGCGCACTGTACCTAGGTCCGACACTTGATTCCGGGACAGAGGCGAGTCCGATGGCACGTCCCATACCTATGATGCCGCCGATCATACCTCTGGTGCCGATCACACCTAGGATGCCGATCACACCTACGATCCCAATCACACCTGCGATCCCAATCACACCTACGATCCCAAACCCACCTATGATCCCAATCATGGGGGTGCGCAGCTCGTGCTTCATGCTGGCCACGAAGCAGCTCTTGCTCCTCTCAGCACTCCCCCCTTTCCCCCCTCAGCCTATCCCAATCACGCCTATATCTATCATACGTTGAGGCTTAAACAAAAGTTGTACCTAAAACTCCAAACCCACCTATGATCCCAATCATGGGGGTGCGCAGCTCGTGCGTCATACTGGCCACGAAGCAGCTCTTGCTCCTCTCAGCGCCCTCTGCCTCTTCTCTCAACCCATCCGCCTCTGCTGCTGCCTGCCGGCTCTGCTCGTACTGCCGCCGCTGCAGCCACGCCACGGCTGCCACCAGCGCTGTCAGTGCGAGGACGAGCAGGGAAAAGAGAATGGGCATCCAGTACTCGACCCACTGAGAAGGGGGCTGCGTGAACCTGTTGGGAACAAAAAAAGACAAGGCAGGAAGAGAGAGAGAGAGAGAGAGAGAGAGAGAGAGAGAGAGAGAGAGAGAGAGAGAGAGAGAGAGAGAGAGAGAGAGAGAGAGAGAGAGAGAGAGAGAGAGAGAGAGAGCAGGGTCACCACTAGAGTGCACGCATTCCGCCTCTGCTGCTGCCCGCCGGCTCTGCTCGTACTGCTGCCGCTGCAGGGGGGAGCACGGGGGGAACAAGAGGGAGCACGGGTTGGCATTCGAGTATGCAGCCAACAGCCACGCCACTGCTGCCACCAGCGAAGCCAGTGACAGGCTGTCAATGTCAGCATCAGCAGCGAAGAGAGACTAGGCATCCAGCACTCGACTGTGTTAGAGGTTTTAGAATTCTAAAAACGCTAACGCATCCAGTACTCGAGGAACTGAGAAGGGGCCTCCGTGAACCTGGGGGAAACCAAAAGGGGCAAAACAATTGGTGTTTTTTAGAATTCTAAAAAACACCCTGAAAAAGGAGAATTCTAAAAAATGCAGCGGGAAGAGAGAGAACAGAGCTGAGCGTTTGAGCGACCACCAAAGTCAAGCATCCTGTAATCTCCCAAGAACCACGATGAACATTCCACGCCCCTGCACTTGAGACTCGAGAGGCCTCAACACGCACTCACCTGCACCAGAATTGGTAGCGCCTGGGGCCGGCAGCTAGCAGAGTGAGATCGACCACTGCTTTCTTCTCCCATGGCCGCAGCACAGAGGGGGGCAGCGGCAGCAGAGGGACGGCTGGTCAGCATCATGAGGAGGCTTGGGATTCGAAACCCACCCACCTGCACCACACTTGGTAGCGCCTGGGGCCGGCAGCCGGCAGCGTGAGGTTGACCACAGCCTTCTTCTCCCATGGCCGCAGCACAGAGGGGGGCACCGGCAGCAGAGGGGAGAAGAGGCGGCCAGGATGAGGCCAGAAGAGGAGAGGCATGGGAACCTACAAACACGCAACCTAGCGCACACACCTGCACCACACTTGGTAGCTCCTGGGGCCAGCAGCCGGTAGTGTGAGGTTGACCACTGCTTTCTTCTCCCATGGCCGCAGCACAGAGGGGGGCACCGGCAGCAGAGGGGCGACTGAATGGTTGGGTTGCGGTTGGAAGAGGAGCGGTGTGGGGCCCGCCAGCATGAGAGGGGCGGACGGGTCTGTTGTGTCGTAGAACTCGAATGTTCGGTCGGTGCCTGCAAGGGGGGTGATTGAGAGAAGCAGGAGAGGTGGAGTTGGAAGAGGAGCAGTGTGGGGTGGGGCCCACAAGCATGAGAGGGGGAGTAGGAAGAGGAGCGGCGAGGGGCACGCCAGCATGAGAGGGGCGGACGGGTCTGTTGTGTCGTAGAACTCAAATGATCGGTCCGTGCCTGCAAGGGGGCGATGGGGAAACAGGATGACTGGTTGTGGTCGGATGGAAGAGACGCGGTGTTGCACACTATCCTCGTGAGACGCGGTGTTGCACACTATCCTCGTGAGACGCGGCGTTGCACACTATCCTCGTGAGATGCGGCGTTGCACACTATCCTCGTGAGACGCGGCGTTGCACACTATCCTCGTGAGATGCGGCGTTGCACACTATCCTCGTGAGACGCGGTGTTGCACACTATCCTCGTGAGATGCGGCGTTGCACACTATCCTCGTGAGATGCGGCGTTGCACACTATCCTCGTGAGACGCGGCGTTGCACACTATCCTCGTGAGATGCGGCGTTGCACACTATCCTCGTGAGATGCGGCGTTGCACACTATCCTCGTGAGATGCGGCGTTGCACACTATCCTCGTGAGATGCGGCGTTGCAGACTATTCTCGTGAGACGCGGCGTGGGGCCAGCCAGCATGAACTGGGTCGATGAGAGGAGGGTGAGAGCGGGAGTTGGACAGGCGTGGGTGGGGCGTGCAAGCAAGAGAGCGGCGGACGAGCTCTGCGTTGAACGATTTAGAGGATCCATTGCAGCCTGCAAGGGCAGAGGGAGGGAGAGCTGAGAGGTTGGGGGGCATGAGAGTGAGGAAGAGCTGAGAGGCAGGGGGGCATGAGAGTGAGGGAGGGATGAGAGGGGGACTCGAAGGACGGGAGGCGAGCACACTGTCTGACACACACTGTCTGACACACACTAACTGACACACACTAACTGACACACACTAACTGACACACACTATCAGACATGTCTTGAAAACGAAAAGGCCACACCTGTCGTGGGTACTGACCCGTGGACGCAGAGTAAAAGATTTCAGCGAGCACACTCTAGAAGACAGCCTGAAAGGTGCTGCTTTTACCAATCTAAACTACACCCAGCAAGGGTACTGACCTGTGGATGCCGAGTAGAAGATTTCAGCGAGCACACTCTGAAATACAGCAGTCAGGTTGATTGTTGTGGCCACTGCTCCCACCACTGCACCTTGCTGCTGCTGCTGCTTCTGCTGCTGCTTCTGCTGCTGCTGCTGCTGCTGTGAAGGGGAGGCGGGTAGTGGGAGCTGCAGCAGGGGAAACACCACTCCTGGTGAGGAAATAGGGGGGAGGGGAAGAGGAAAGTGAGGTTGATAGCAGTGAGGTTGAGGTAGGAGGCCACTGCTGCCACCACTGCTGCTTGACCCTGCTGCTGCTGCTGCTGCTGTTGCTGCTGCTGCGAGGGGGAGGGGAGTAAGGGATGCTGCAGCACCGGCGACACCAAATACTGGTGTGGGAGTAGAGAGGGGAGAGAGAGTAAGGGAAGGAAGGAGGGGTTGATGAATGTGGAGAGACGGAAGAGGACAGGGAGGAACGAGTGCAAAAGGAGTAGATCCGGGCAGAGTGTTTTTGAGACGTCTCAAAAGCGGAATCCGTAGCTTGCCTTCTTCTGAGTTGACTCAAAAGCGGAATCCTGCCAGAGAGTAGGTAGCTTACCCAGTCCATGGAATGAGACTCACTCAGCATGGGTGAGTGAGCCCATGAGACTCACCCATAGCATGACTCCTGCCTATAGTAATTTTATTTTGAGTTGACTCAAAACGAGAGCAGCTCGAAGCTTCCCCCGGATGAATCCTGACAGCCCATCAGACTCACCCAGGTCAGCAGCGCCAGTGTCGGCCATGGCATGGGGAGTGGTGAACGTTTCATTGGCGGAGGATCGTGCGAGCGAGAGCACTGAGAGGAAGGCCTGGAGGGCATCTCGAAGCTTACCTGGCATGAATCCTGCCGATACTTATTTCGTCTCGAGTCAACTCAAAACGAGAGCAGGTCGAACAAAGCTTACCTGGCATGAATCCTGCCAGCCCATCAGACTCACCCAGGCCAGCAGTGCCAGAGTCGGTCGGCCATGGCATAGGGAGGGAGGGAGTGGTGAACAACACCTCTCTGGCTGAGACGCGCACAAGAGCCAGCTCTGAGGGGAAGGCCTGGAGGGCATGTCAAAGCTTACCTACCATGAATTTCTCGCAGGCCACAAAACTCACCCAGGCCAGCGGTGCCACTGTCGGGCATGGCATAGGGCAGCGTGAACACCTCTCTGGCTGAGTCGCGCACAAGAGCGAGCTCCGAGGGGAAGGTCGGGAGAGCAGCTCCAAACTTACCCAGCATGTATCCTGCCAACCCAGCAGTCCCACCCAAGCCATGAGACTCACCCAGGCCAGCAGTGCCAGAGTCGGGCATGGCATAGGGCAGCGTGAACACCTCTCTGGCTGAGTCGCGCACAAGAGCGAGCTCCGAGGGGAAGGCCTGGAGAGCATCGGAGAGTAGTGCAGCGCCGGGCATATCACCGAAGTCCAGAACCTGAAAGGGTGGGAGGATGGCAGGGCGGAAAGGAGGAGGATGGTTCATGAGACCAGAACTTGGTGAGGTGGGAAAGCGGAGCGGACGGCAGCTCCGAGGGGAAGGTCTGGAGAGCGTCGGAGAGTACTACAGCGCCGGACATATCGCCGAAGTCCAGAACCTGAAAAGGAGGGGGACGTGGGGTCGCATGTTTGGTCAGGGAGCTGATTCTGGAGGAACCATAAAGGCCAGAGGGACGTGCAGTGCTGGACATATTGCCCATGTCCAAAACCTGGGCGGGAAAAGGTGAAAGCTAGCAAGCAGGAGAAGGCGTCTTGAAACCTGTTTTAGTGCGGGAGCGGAGAGGGAAAGACGGTGGAGCGAGAGAGGGAGGGGGGGCTCACCTTGGCGCAGTAGAGGGGAGCAGGCGCACGTGGCAGGGCCGTGAACGCATCAGTGACAGAGGCGTTGCTCCGCAGCTCGAAGGCACGCCTGCAGGAAGGGCAGAGGGGGGCCAACAGGGTGAGGTGAGGGCGGACATGGCATGGCAGATATGTCCGAGTATGCTGTATATCCGGATAGGAGGAGGGAAGCATGTATGCGAGAGGAAGAATGGCCAACCAAACATGCATGCATGCCATCGAACCCACCTCTGGGCATGGGTAACATAGAGACTAGTTTTGAGGCAGGTAGAACCCACCTCAAAACTCGAACCCACCTCAAAACTCGAACCCACCTCAAAACTCGAACCCACCTCTGGGCATGGGTAACATAGAGACAGGTGAACGCCCCAGCACCTCCTGGCCGGGTGGAGGTGGTTTGACTCAGATACGCCTGCCACCGCCTCTCAGACAGACACGTGTCCAGCCCCCATTGGTTGTCCGCGCTTACACGACCCATGGACGACACCAGACCCATCAGCGTCTGCACGTACATAAGGAGGCAGGATGTGTGCGCATGCGCGGGAAGGGATATTTTGAGAATTCTCGAAAATCACATACATAGGGGGCAGGGTGAGTGTGCGCGGCAAGAGGAATGCGTGACAATGCAACGAGATGAATCTTGAGAGTCGACCCAAGTGTTTTTTGGGTCGACTCGAAAAACACCCAGACCCATCAGCGTCTGCACATACATAGGGGGGCAGGGTGTGTGTGCATGTGCAGAAAGAGGAGTGCGCGACAAAGCAACGAGGAGTGCGTGACAAAGCAACGAGGAGTGCGCTGGCAAATAAGGGCCAGCGTGGGTGTGCGTGCGCGCGGGCAGAGGAGTGTGTGACGATGCAACTAGGTGACTCTTGAGTCGATCCAAAAGCCAACCTCACCCATCAGCGCTTGCACTTAAGGTTCAGGGTGTGTGGATGTATGTGCGCGCGCGCGCGCGCGCGCGTCGCACTAGGGTTGTGAGAGAGAGAGCAGCAGGGGCTAGGGAGAACAAGCGATGGAGCTTAGCAAGAGTGGTTAACAGGTAGCCTTATCTAATTCATGCAGTTAGTACATCCAATGTGTGTGGGCGCCAGTGAGTGTGATACCTTGCCATTCTACAAACGCAGGACACATTGTTTTTTTTTTTCATACTAACTCTTATGAAGTCACCTGCGTCTGGCTGGTGTGTGCCAGCAGCAGCAGCGGCTGCTGCTCCAGCGCCATCTCTCGATGCGAGCGCCACTCCCCTCGCCGACACCTTCTCTCCTCCCCCCCCTCCCCCCCCTTCCCCCTGCTATAGCCCGAAAGAAAACCCCTCGCGCATGCCAAGTATATGACCCGTTCCTTTCCACTCACCTATGTCTGCCTGATCTACGCCCAGCCCTTTCACGTGCGTCTGGCTGGTGTGCGCCAGCAGCTGCTGCTCCTCCACCATCGCTCGCAGCGAGCCCCATTGCCTGCATGTTCACCGTTCCCCGCGCCACTGCTATAACCCCTCAAGCACATCCGATTTATCACCCACCGTACTACCCACCTGCGTCTGGCTGGTGTGTGCCAGCAGCTGCTGCTCCAGCACTATCGCTCGCTGCGAGCCCCACTGCGCTACACCTTCAAGGCATTTCCTATGGCACTGCTTAGCCTGACCAGAAACCACCCGCGCATATCATCCTTTGGACCCACCTGCGTCTGGCTGGTGTGCGCCAGCAGCTGCTGCTCCAGCAGCATGGCTCGCTGCGAGCACCATTGCCTTAACTCCAGTCGCCGCTCCCCCTGCCACTGGTACTGCCGCACCACGAACCGCCACACGCACACGCCCACGCCGATCAGTATCCAGGTAGCTATTAAGACGTGGAACACTGAGACTGAAGGGGGAGGAGGGCGGGGGGAGGGGCAAAGTGGATGGAAGGGAGATTCAGAAAGATGAGGGGGGTAGGGTCGTGGGGAACAGGGGGGTGAGGTGGAGAACGTGGGAAAAGAGGAAACCTCGAAAACAGGGGGGAGCGTCGACAGGGGGACAGGGAGGTGTTGAGAGGGGGGACTGGAGTGGGGGATTCGAGAGCTGATTCGTATGACACTCACAGGGGGGGGGAGAGAGAAGGGGGGGGGGGGGAGGGGGGGAACCGGATAGAGACCCGCCATCATTCACACAGAGGAAGGCGAGTGAAGCAGTCAGGAGGGGATGACGACTCGCGTCGGACAGGCAAAGTATGACGTCAGAATGCTGAATCTCTTGGGAAATAGGCCACCTCCTGTGCGTGTCGACACCCAGCTTTCATCTGACGAAACTCCCCCCCCCCCCCTCTCCCCCTCCCCCCCCCCCCTTTTCCCTCCCACCCCTGGACTGCATCCCCCCGCGATAGCATTCTTCCCCGATAGCCTCAAGAATCATCATTTCCCAAGCTCGCTAGTTTGAAACAAAAGCTGCCCCTCCGTCACAAAAATGTGGATTTGACCTACATAGTAGCTATAGTTGTTCGTACAGCAAGGCTACTCCGTAGCTCACGTACCTACTCCGTACCTAGTGCGTACCTAGTACTCCGTATGTCTGGTCCCGGTATTTTGGGACGTCCGCTAGGCTTGCTGAGTGCGTACCTCGCCTGCGTTTCTTGCTAGGATAATGCCGTTTTCCTGCTCGGTTCCCGCCGGGATCAGCCGAGTCTTCATCGCCGTCATGCTGACGGTCACCGGCGCTCGGTTGACGGCGGACGCCGTGACGGCATCGGTCCGTCGGGCGGCAGGAATTTCTGTCGTTCAGACTAGTAGTCGTGCTTTTGCCAGCAGTGTTACTACTAGCACTATTAGTATTAACTCCACGTATTTCAACGTCATCTTCCAGTCGACAATCGTCGCCTGTAGTAGCTGTCTCTGAGACGAAACTGTCCTCGAGGGAAATATCTGCTGCTCGCACGACATCGCGTCGAGAAATTCTCAGCGGATTCCTGATTAGTAGCCTATTAAATAACCTGGAAGTTCCTGTTTCCGATCCGTCCGACGCATCTAAGTAACAATCTGCACAAGTATCCGTAACATCGGCGTTTCCCGGGTCAGCGAGTCGCGGGTCAGAAGCGGCTGTAGTGTCTGGTCGGCCTACAGATGCCACGGCTCGCCATAGCGACGCGGCTTGTGTTACTTCCGTCGCGCGATCGTCGCCGACCTTTCCGCTGAAGAAACGCTTCATCTTGGTGTGAGCCATGTCCGAGTCGGACGTGTCAGATCGTGATAGGAAGGCTCAGATATCGCGTCAGCCAGGGGGGGGGGGTTTCCAAAGGCATGCTGCTCTCCTGCACTGTATCAAGGGATCTGAATCAGGGCTTACGCTAGGCCCTAGGGAGTTTCGGAGGGTCCCGAGATGGGGTCCAGAAGTACCCAGAATTTTCCGGATCCCAAGGAAATTTCACCCAGAATCCTTCCGAGTTCTCGACATAGCAACCCTGCCAAAGGTCGTGTCAGTCATCTCCCCTGGTGTGTGCCAAGAACGTGACTAGGCTGATTGACTTAAGTCCTGAAATCGTCCAAGTACCTTTTGTGATTCGTGACGTGAGAATCTTCGCCACCACGCAGTGGAATGGAAGTTCTCCTCACAGAGCTCCATGCTACGAGACTAGTTCGTCAGGATTCATGAAGATAGTTCACGGAATGGTTCAGGATTTCAAGGAAAATCCAGTCGGAAACATTCAGAGTTTCGGAAAATTCCAACTTGTTAAAATCCGGGTTCGGGGCTTGAACAACTCTGAATTTCTCGACATTTAGGGTAGCTACCCTTCTAGCGTAAGCCCTGATCTGAATGCAGCGATCAAAATCTTAGGCCAATGTGATATCACACTCCGAAATGTGCGTAGAAAGCATGCTGAGGAGGTTCGCTCAGGGAAGCCCAGTTGATTTGCTGAAAACAGCTTTCGTGCAACAAGTCCACCACATCCCACTACGGCACATAGCGTTACAGTGCGTTTTGGCACGATTGGGAATGATTCCGAAGGTTCAAATGCGTTGATGTGACGACAAGCTTTCCAACCAGCATTCACGAATCACACCATGCATCGTGGTGCCACTGCTACCACACCGCACTTGTGCCCCAAACCGAGAAAGCTGGTTGGCCAGCAGTTTGGTTTGGGCCGCAAGCTCCCCCGGTTTTGGCTTTCCGAGCCTAGAGTTCAGAGGCGTTCCAGAATCACGAGGCTTTCCAAACCAGCAATCCGGCTCAACGTCACAAACAGACCAGACCCGAGGCACCCTTCCAAAACTGAGCTGAACGCATCATCTCCACAGATCAAGGCGTGGCCTGCCCTGGCCTGGCCACTATGCCTGATGACAACCACTGCAAGAAGGCTGATGCTGTGTTTTGCTGTGCTTGGACCTCTGTTTTAAACCACGTGGGTCTGAAAAGTATGGCATCCGCCGCAATTGGCAGCCTCAGAAAGTTGGCTCCATCCAAAAAGTCGGTTGCATTTGCATTTGCAATCGATGGATGCATCAGATCCGTCAACGGCTTTCCCAAGAAAACAGCAGTCTACACCTCGATCACAGCTACAACAAGAAAATATTTTACGAAAACAATTTAGAAGGCTAAAATAATGTGAACGAACTTGGTCATGACCATGCCTGTTTAGGCAGGTCCCCCTGGCACGACGGGTATCCCTCCCTCGGAGGGGGCGGTGCACGGGACAGACAGCTCCCCCTTCCCCATGCACGTCCAGCACGAGGAAGTCGGGCGGGGGCTGTGGGAGAGGGGCGGCCTCGGGCCGTTTTCCTTCCGGCAGGGGCAGCTGCATAGGCTGGTTCCCTGCAAGAGGGCTTGCCAGAGGAGCAGTCGGTTGTGCGAGTGGGGGAGCCGTTGGGGGAGCAATTGCGGGAGCAGTTGGAGATGCAGTTGGCGCAGCTGGGGGAGCTACACCTGGTGTCACGGCCGGAGGACGGGCGGGGGCAGCCGCTAGGAACGCGGCAGGAGAGGGAGTCGGGGGAGGCGCGGCGGGGGAAGCCAACTGAAGGGGTGATCGAGGAGCCCCTCCACGTGCGGAAGGAGCGGTAGGCTGTAGTGGGGCCGGGGCAGACTCTTCAGATGCGGCAGGAGCAAGAGGCTGGGGTGGGGCTAGTGTGGTCCCTTCGGGCGCAGCAGGGGCAGCAACCAGGTATCAGGGCTGGGCTATCCGCGGAGGGGGGGTGCTAATGGGCACGCAGCCAGGGCCGGGCTCGGATGGGTGCTAGGGGTGGGACTCAGGGACGCGCTCCAGATGGGAGACTCCCCCTTTGGATAGCCCCATGGGGCCGCCGGAGGTCTTCCCGTCCTGACTGCCCTTGCCGTGGATCCCCACCGACCCTGCCCGCGGTCGTTGGGTGCCTACTGCTGGGCCCTCGGCTGCGCCGGCCGCTGTGGATCCTAAGGTGGCAACGGCTCCTCGGATCCCATATGAGGAGTGTAAAAGTGAACAACGTGTTTAGAGTAGCAAAGATCTGGAGTTGGTGGAACCACGAGTAAAAGTCAGCGGAAGACTTTACACATTGTATTGGTTGGAAATGTCAGAAATGACAAGAATAATAATTATGAATAATACACGCATATTTATTGTCTAAGAAGTACCTATTAGGAATGTACCTGTTCGTAGTGTATCGCGACTATTCGAATGGCATGACTAGTGACTGTTCATGTGACTGAGAGTGGCGTGACCCTTCAGGTGACTATACACGCGAACCTACTGTTCACGCGTTGACTCGCTACTGCTAACGTCATCACACGCATCCTTCCATATTAGGTATCCCGCTACTAGTACAATCTAGGTGTTACATCAGGAATGCATAAGTAAATTCTGTCCCCTTCATTCTTGAGTGTATGTCTCTGGGTAAGTGTCGCCCGCCTTTGCAGATTTCAACCAGATTGGAGCAGTACTGAAACTTGCCGCGTGGGAGTTTCTTCGTTAAGAGTTTCAGCTGCCATCTCTAATGTAGGGCAGTATTTCAGGATGACATTCCCTTCGTCGATTTTGTCTGGAGAGTTTTTTGCTATAACGAGAGCTTCTGCGGAAGTGCATGACGCAGACAGAGCTACTCTAGCTCTGCAATTCTCTGAGAACTTGTCAAACATATATTTATATGTTACTATAGGCTAGATAGGTGCGTACTCTTATAGGGTACAACCACTTATACAAAACCACATTGTTTGCCTCATTCTAGTCAATCTTTCTATTCCGAGATGGTATCACGCTAGGTTAGGTCCCCCCGCCCACCCGTGCTTCTCCCTTAGGCCTAGCCCTAGCCGTCCCGTTAGCGCCCCGCTGGCCCCTTAGTGCCCCGCTGGCCCCTTAGCACCCCGCTGGCCTCTTAGCACCCAGCTGGCCCCTTAGCGCCCCGCTGGCCCCTTAGCACCCCGCTGACCCCTTCGCGCCCCGCTGGCCCGTTAGCGCCCCGCTGGCCCCGTCGAGCCCTCCTGGCCCCGTTCGCCCCGTCGGCCCCTTAGCGCCCCGCTGGCCCGTTAGCGCCCCGCTGGTCCATTAGCACCCCGCTGGCCCATTCTCGCCCCGCTGGCCCGTTAGCGCCCTGCTGGTCCCGTCAAGCACTCCTAGCCCCGTTCGCCCCGTCAGCCCCGTTAGCGCCCCGCTGACCCCTTAGCGCCCCGCTGGCCCGTTCTCGCCCCGCTGGCCCGTTAGCGCCCTGCTGGCCCGGTCGAGCCCTCCTGGCCCCGTTCGCCCTGCTGGCCATGTTGCGCCCCACTGGCCCCGTACGCCCTGCTGGCCCCTTAGCGCCCTTTTGGCCCCGTACGCCCCACTGGTCCCGTGCGCACCGTTAGCCCTGTGTGCCCCGCCGGCCCCTGCCCCGCTGGCCGCAGCCCGCACCGGACCCGCGCCGGCCAGCAGCCACACCGAATCGCCTCCGAGCCGTCGTGTCGCTGCGCCGCCACGTCTCTCTGCCGCCCCCGACCTACCGGTCTCGGTTCCCTTCTGCGCCGCCTCATCTGCCGACCGTCTCCACCGCTCTCCACCGCCCTCAACCGCACTCAACCGCACTCAACTGCACTCCACTGCACTCCACCGCTCTCCACCACTCCCCACAGCTCTCCACTGCTCTCCACCACTCTCCACCGTACTCCACCACTCTCCACTGCTCTCCACCACTCTCCACCGCTCTCCACTACTTTCCTTCGCCTTTCCTCCTCACCCTGCTAGCGGCAGTCAGCAGCTCCAGCTGTGGTGATGGCGGAGTCACAGCTCCGCTTGGACGCGGAGGGTCGGGCGATAGACTTCGAGGCGTGGCTCGTCGACCTCCGTTGTCACCTTACAGGTCAGCGCCAGGATGGTCACTCCCTCGTTGTCCATGTCGATGGCCTGCTTTCCCGCCCCACTGCACCTGCTGCCCTCCCTAATGCCCCCACCACTGCTGAGCGTGAGGCCTTTTCCGCTGCTGCGCTTGCTCGTGTTGTCTAGGATTCGCGCGATGTCGTCTCACATCGTGCTATCAGTCACGCACTCCCTCTGTCTGAGCGTCCCCGCTTTACCACTGTAGCGAACGCCCAGGCTTTCTTAGATGCAATCATTGTGTGCAATTCCATCCCCGCCACTGCCTCTGCTGGCTGCCTGATCCTCCCCATATTGTTCCCTGATCTTGCGCCTTCCCCGCTGTCGCCGACCTTACCACTCACCTCTGCGCGCTTGAGACGGGCTACCGTGCCGCTAGCACTGGGGCTCAGCTCACTGCCTTTCCGCTACCGTTATGCGCTACCCTTTATCTCATGGCTACGCGCCTGCGTGACTGCCTCGCCACAGCCCGTGACCACTTCCTTAGTCACCATCTAGATGACCTCACCCTTACCGCCTTTGTCACCGCCCTGTCTGCGATAGTGACCCGCCAGCGCACTATCGCTCAGTCTAGCGGTACTGCGGCGGTGCCTATCTTATAGGGTTGTGCTCCCTCCCAGTGCACTTACTCTGACTTCTCCTCTACTGTTGTTGAGACCACTACTGCGGCCTCAGCACAGACGCGTCGCCGCCCCAAGTGGGGGCGTGGTGGAGGGAAGGGGGGTGGGGGTGGGGGGGTGGCGGAGGTGGGGGCGGTGACGGTGGTCTGGACGAGGGGAGCAGGGCTGGTGCCCCGGAGCAGTAGCAGCAGCAGACGTAGCCTCATCATCAGGAGCAGCATCAGCAGCAGACACAGCAACTGCAGCCACAGCCGCAGCAGCCGTCGTCACAGCAGCAGCAGTCGCTGTGAGGACCCCCCCCGCCGTGGTTGATTGGCGGCGCTAGTGGTAGTGGTCGCGGGGGTGGCGGGCGCAGCTCGGTGTCAGG